CGATGCTTTGATGTCTGCCTTCTGCTCTGAGAATGTTTACTATAAACACCAGCCTCTGCCCCAGAATGTCCCAACTTGCAGAGCGTGCACGGGGTATGCACAGGGTGGGACAGAAATCACTGGAGACCCATGCCGGCTCTGGTGGAACCCCTTCCTCACCCCCTCCAATAGCTATGTCATGTATATTCAGTTCTGCTCCCAAGACTCAGCAGCAGGTAGATGCCCTGGGTATACACTTGGTGGGAATATGCTCCACAATGCAACCATTCCTCATCAACCATTTCCCTCCTGACTCTTGGGTTCATTTCCAAAATAAGCTATATGTACCCAGAGCCCCTTTGATGCCCCATTTTGTGAGAACACCAGCCAAGTAGCCAACCACAAGTCCTGTCTCTCTCATGTGAATGGCTCAGTCCATCGTGTGTTCCGATATGTGAAATGTGAGGATAAATGGACTGCTTGTTGCTTCCATAGAGTGAGTTACATGTTTGAGCCTCAGAAGGCCTTAATTAAGTCCTATATTCTTGCCTAGATCTAGCCACTGATCATTGCCATCCACTGCCTGGCTCAGTTTCTTCACCTGAAAAACAAGGGCCCCTCCAAGACAGCTGAACTTGTCTTGGAAACACCTGCCCATTATCCCAGACAAATCCTGGAGTTCCAGGTTTGTAATATGTTCCAGGAGTGGGGTTTTTCTACACTGTCTTTCTTGGAAAAACACTTCAAAAGTTTCATAAGAATTAGCATCACACAGATTTGTCTGGGCACATGATCTCTTTTGCAATCTTTCTTCTATCCTCCTCCTACTTAAAATCTGGCTGTTACCATCCACAGAAGTTGTTTTTAGATGGCATGCCATCTTTGGCCTGTGGGGGAGAAGAGAAATACGCTTTGTGAATGGAAAGTCTCAGGAAGTCACCTTCTGTGCATGTCACATATTTATCAACACACACCACTCTTTGAGGAAAGTCCCAGGGTGTGGCACAAGCCACGTTTCAGAGGACCAATCTGGCAGCCAAAGCCACGCAGTTCTGGCACTGCGGTTGAGCTTTGCTCTTCTAGATGTACTGGGGCCGAGCTTTGCCGAGGTAGCCATTGCTGCATCACTATTTCGGGGGAGGCTGGGTTTCTCTCAACTCACTCCAACAACAAGATGTGGTATGGCTCTAATATGGCTACTCCCATAAGAAAGCCTCCTGGGGATCTGATGCTGTCATAGGGAAAGTTTCCCTTTGGAAAAAGGGGGCATTTTCAGGACACCAGGATTGGCATGCAGCCTGGACACGTGGCAACTGTGACCTGAAGCCTGGGGGCTTTGGAGGAATTCATTCTCCTTTGTCCTTTCCTCCCTTCCAATCTATACTTTGCCCATGGTTTACCACAGCCTTCACTTACCACTGCCTCTGTTGCCAGGAGAAGTCCCCAGTTGCCACATGTGGCCTATTTGGCATCAATCCATCTGCCCACCATCTGAGATGGCCTGTAACAGAAAGCTGCTCATCAAGACTGAGCAGGCACCCAGCTCTTGGTCCTTTAAATACCGAGAGCACACCATGGAAACATAAGTGTAGACTGAAGATTGAGCTATTTGAATGGCTCGTTAGCAGACTGCCCACCTTATGGTGGAGGAAGAAGTTCAAGAATCAGAGCCGACCTGGACCATGATGATGAGCAGGCCCCTGGGAGGCCTTACCAGCATAGAGAGGCTATCTGAAGCACAGCTAACTCTCCCAGGGGGACAAGGGAAGGAGGGACTAGGCAGAGGCTTCAGGGCCACTGTGCAAGAGCAGATGGGTCACTTTAAGACTGTTGAGCCCAATCATGCACCACTAATAGATGCAGAGTGTTGGGTGGTGTGGCAGAGTGCCCATAAGAAGGAGCACAGGATCTAGGCACACCTCTCATGCTCATGCCTGGCATAGACTCAGTCGCTGTGCCTGGAAGTCATAGGCCTCAATGCACAATATAGTACTGTTCTGCCTGGAGCTACTGCTCTGTAACCTGTAACCCTGCCCTACCCAGGCAGTTACAGGCAGAAACCTAGGGAAAGGGGGCTCAGGCTTGAGGAGGAGGCTCTTTTGGATTTGCCTCCAAGCCTCAAAGCACAGGCTAGCCCACAGCTGAGCACAGAAAACACTGAGTAGAACGGCTCTGCTATTAGCTGAACAAGGGACCCGAAGTGAGCCTCAGTTTCCCCGTGTGTAAGTGATGCTCAAGGGAATGTCCCATCACACATACACACGTTGTTTGTAGAAGGAAATGATAAACCCGTGTGACCTTTGACTTGCTTTACAGGAGACACAGGTCGGAACATGGCTGCCATGCACAACCTCTACAGTCTGCCTTGTGTCTGAAAGACTCCAGTCCTGTACTCTGAGATCAAAATTCGATATTTAGAATTAAAATTGAAAAGAAAAACATTGGCCCCCCAATACTTTAAATGTTCTAAATTGAGTTCTATAAGTCCTACCACCCTCAAATTCAATACTGACTTCAGAAAAGACAACTGGAACCTTTAAGTTCTGCTTTTGAACCTCCCCGGAGAGGGAAATAAAGTTGAGCAAAGGCTACGGTGCCCACTGTCTGTAACACTTTACTGGTGACTTGAATATAGGCATTTTAGCTTTGCAAAGTGGTGCATTTGAGAATGGGGGAATGGTAATTATGCACATTTTTGTATGTAATACACATTCACACACAGGAGCAACAGGACCTGTACGTATGTGCACAAGGCATAGTCTCCTGAGGGGCAGAATGCAGGGTGACTCTTAGGAGAACCCCAAAGCCCATGTGTGTGGTCACAGGGCAAGAGCCTGAGCCAGGGGCTACCAGTATATCTGCTCATCTCCAGGGCTTTGGCCATGTAGTGTCTGTCCCCAACACCATTCAGGAAGTGGTAGGACAGTGTCGTTAAGGCTAAGTTCCCCAGAATTCTAATTCTAGAACATTCTACTGCCAACTTGGATTCAGTGGGCCCTCAAAGGTTAAAAACTGAAAAGAGGCCTTTATGTACAGAGCCTGGGATCTTGCCCACCCAGGCTCACCAGTTAGCACCTAAATGACCACACTAGAGCAAAAGCAGGGCTCACACACAGCATTAGAGCCATGCAGAACCCTGATTTACTTAATGCATGTTTCCCCGTAACTACTCCTTTAAAAATATTAATTTGCTTTTATATGTATGGTTGTTTTTGTTTGCAAGTACATATGTGCATTGTGTGCCTACTTGGTGCCTATGGAGGCCGGCAGAGGATAGCTACCATGGGAGTCTGCTACAGACAATTGTGAGCAGCCATGTGGGTGCTGAGAATTGAACTTGAGTCCTCTAGAAGAATAGCCAGTGTTCTTAGCCACTAGACCCCCTCCCTCTTTCTCTGTCTCTCTCTCTCACACACACACACACACACACACACGAACACACACACACACACACTTCCTCTTAAAATACCCAATTTATGACCATCCAACTCTAAAGTGTACAGAGGCCTATGCTTCCTATCCTTCTGGCCCAGGGTGCCACACACATGGGGTCTCATGGGGACCAGAGCCCAGGCTGCAGTCTTAGGAGGAGGTACCAACCAACAAATGCCTCATCTGCCCATGTTTGTTAAGTCACAGAGTGATCACAGCCCAAATGTTCTTTAAGTCATAGACATAGCCAACTTTGGAACATGAAATTGCCCGTCATGAATCAACAGCTTCTGAACTAGTAGGAAGAGGGTCAAGACAGAGGGCCATGGGCACAGTCGCTTTTCACTTGGGCTACTGAGAAAGTGTGGAGGGGAGAGGAGGTGGCTCACCATCCCTCACTCCATGTGGTTCTAAAGACTTTGGAGTTGAGTGCTCAGCACACATGGACACGGGAAGAGCAGCCAGTGGGTGTGTCTCCAAGGCTCAGTTCTGGGCAGAAGCTGGTGGTACCTGTCTTGCAAGGCTCTTACACATGCTTTCTGTTCTACTGGATACAAGAGGTAGGTGGGAGGCCACATCACCAGCACCTTCTACACACAGCCTGTGATGAACAGCCGGTGTGCTCTGTATGTCTGAAGCCATCCAGGCAGGCATGTCAATGTGTCTATATGCAGGAAGGACACATAGGCCAGGAACACGTTCCATATCCTGCTTTCACAGACATCCATTCCATCACTATACTGATGGAAACAAAAGAAGTATTTGTCAACCAGAGACCTTAAGTCTTATTTTGTACCATATTTTTCCTCAAATGAATGCCCCAACCTCCCCCCCCACACACACACAACTGGGAGTCAAAGGTAATAGGTCCCCATGACCCAAACAACATAGGTCCTGACACATGACCCCCAGAAAGAGGCAGAGTACCACCTGCTTTGGAGTGGGGCTTTTGTGGGTCATCACGTGACAGGAAGCCCACTAACATGGCACATATCCAGGGGCACAGAAGGCAGCACGCCACACCCAGAGGAGGCACCTCCGTCTG